GTAAGCATGCTGCGGATCATATGTTGGTTTGAATGTTCCCTTCAGGCAAGAGGCGGTCGGTAAATTGGAACCTCTTGACCTTCTGGATGGACTCCATTGGCCTTAGAAGAAGAACTGTACCCCCGAAAAACTTAATTTGCGATACCTCTACTCTTTTTGTTTATCGCTACCCAATTAGACAAGTCCTCGCCCAACTCGTCTACCCAAAGCTTTAACTAATATGTACCATAACTGTCGCCTATCAAAATGATTTACACTTTCATGTGAATGTATGACATTCCACATTTCGCAATGTTTGAAGATTGCATGCTTAGTTGTATCTGAAAATGGACTTTACTAAAAAGACAGGTGAAATATGGAATACCACACTTCTATCTGTTTTAAATGGACAACAACGGAAACCACTGGTCGTATCCCTCGTCCCAGCCCTTCCCTCCTTCCTTTTTTTCTTTGCATATCATTTGACGGTCGGAGGTGTCTTGATTGCTACGACGATAGACTTTTCCACTGCAGGATGGATACGTAAGGCAACTAAACAGAAGGAGAGACGAAACTTAAAAAGCACAATCGCCTTTTCATTTGCAATATGTGCATTTTCAGTGGATTACAGAGACAGTCTCTTACGTAATCTGCCAGACAGCCAAGGCAGCACTTGCGATGTGTTTGCTATAGCAAAATAAATAAACCAATTATGACATTCACTGTCACTTTAGTCCTTCATTACATTTGACACGCAAAATGAAGAAGTGACAAGGCTATTAAAGCACCGGAAACGCGTTCCTAACTCGCGGTTTGTTCATGCGATCCATACGCGGTGTCAAACGGTTACATTAAGCGACGTCAAATGTTCAATATTCAAGTTTCTTCTTCTATCAACTTACTGAAGCTTCCAAAATGCCTACTTCTTTAGTTCCGAGTCCAACAACCAACAAATTTACAGCATCGACTGCCAAAACTTGAGGCAGATCTCAATCAGAAGTTCTTCTCTCTAAATCTTACAGGAGAATAACGCCAAGTTGTAGGTTGCTCGATTTAAAAAAAAGACAAAATTAGTCTTCCAGCCACTCCTTGGTCCTTCATTGATCAGTAGAAAATTCTCAGTAGTATGTCTTGACTTATAAGTTCTCTACTTCCTTGATTTTGATGATCGAATGGAGGACGATACTGCCACTGTACAATGATGCTGATGCGATTCCCTCCATCAGCCTGGAAATCTCAACACGAAGTCCCATCAACTCCGACCTCAGGTGGATATACAAGGGAACGATAGAAATTAAATGAAGCTTTTAGCGCCTCTGAGGCCGACTTGTCCCCAAGACACACTAAACTACCAACTGTTTCACCGTCGAGTTATTACCATCTTCTGCTAGTTCATGAAAGGTCAATGGATACATTTGTATTCTTTGGTTATCAACTGTTTTATTTAATGAATCAACATGTTGATTAATGGTGCCTGTAGAATTTATACCTGTTTGCTTGAGGTTGAAAGAAGTCACGGGAGTATCCGGAGGATTTACTACTGAAATACAGAAGAGGTGAGTCTGTCAGCATAGCCTGGAGACCATAGCAACGAGCGGAAGTACCGCAACGGAGCCTTAAGTACTTGCGTATTCAAAACACAGTTAACCAAACAATCAAAGCATAGCATATCTCCTCTCACCTTTTTAACGTCATCTTTGGCACTCCTCCTGAGTCAGATGCTACTCCATGTGGAGAGAAAAATAGCTCAACCGAATCGTCTGATCATCCTATGCACCCGATCCACGCCTCCGATATTCCATCGGTTTTGGCAATGAAGGTCCCCGTATCACAGTTTTTGAGCCTAAACTCTGCAACGGAGAGTACCTTATTAGCCACGCAGCTATCTACTGCCAGCGCACAGTTATCACATGCACAAACGTTGTACTCCACCCTGATTACTTATATGCGTCGGCAAATAAAGGAGCCTGTGTTAAGCCTTTGTAGACTGGTTACTCCGATTCGGAACTGGACAGGGCATGAGGAGATAGGATAAGACAGACCCGAGCCCATACGCAAAGTGTTGATAAGAGACATTGGTGGAAAGACCTTAATAGGAGGGATTTTTTGTGACTTCTTCAGTAGCCCAACTACAAGGGAATAACCCTGGTCCCCCTCCCTGTTCCCGGTATTAGGCTGTGAAGAAACAAGTTTGCTACTTATTAATTATAAGTAAAAGGTTAATACCAACTGCGATGTAATCCACCTGACATTTTGCAACTGGACCTACCCAAGCTTGAGAGGTTGCTTGAAATCGTTATCGCACATACCTGCTTGATGTCACCTATATCCCTTTTTTTAGAAGTTTTTACTAGTTGAATAGCTGCATTATACAAAAAATCTGCAATTTATCCCATAAGTGGACGCGACTAATCAGCCATTATTTGATACTTAAACTGCCATGTTAGCATCACAAGGTTCCAAAGTTAAACAGTTTTTTGCACAAATTATGCCGTCAAGATGAAAAATGAGCCAATTGAGACTTGGCTTCCACTGGACCCCAATTGTCGAGTGATAGGCTTAAAAAACATCTTACTACTGTAAGTATGCCAATGGAAACTTGTGACTGTTGTTTATTCAGTTGATTTCGAAGTGGGTCAAAAAGGTCTTTGACCAGATCACTGTTAGAGCAGGTTCAATTTCAGGCTGAGATACCTGCGTGTTTCAATGGTCATTGCCTTACCAATCAGCGGTCAGATGTGGGAACGAGATTAGGGCATAACCCGCGCAAAACAGGTTGTTGTGAGACTAGTTTGTCTTTTAGTTAAAAAAGGTAGTTGAAGAATATTGTCAATGACTAGGATGTTATAGTAATATCGCGAATAATGTTAACCTGCCCACGTATCCATTCATTTGCCATCCTACGCTACCGGAAGAGAGTAAACTGTACCCTGTATATCACATGCATGTATCAAACACTTGAATTATACAACTAAACACCGCCTATTACTTATTCATCATTCGGTATCTTTCGACTCTGTCTACCGCTAAAAGCTGAAATCACTTTGACCAATGTGAAGAGCTCGAAATCCAACCGAGGGTAGGGCAGTAGCACTAAAACCAAACGACTTGCTGTTTTAATCAAGCGGGAGTTCACAGAGAGGTTATTTTAAAGTCCATCATGTAAATTTGATGTCACATCATCTGTCAGATTTTAGGAAGCCAGCTAACAGCCCAGTAACTTTGCTACTGTCGAGGCCTCTGTGATGGGTGATTGCAACATGGATGACAATTTATTGCCTCCCCACTGGTCGGTCATTCCTCAAGTCCCCCATTACCTTCCACTCTTGGTAAGGCCACATGCGGTAATAAAAGGCACGATTAACATCTGCTACGAATTTACCAAATCGCAGCCCTCAACCAAATTATTTGGCGGTATGGAAGTGAACTAAAATCCGTCTATACTTCCAAATCTCGACTAATTATCAGGAAAAAAAAGTGGATATGGTAAGAGGCGAGATTGGAAGATTAACAAGCCTTCTGATGGATTAAACCTGGAAAGACAGTAGAAAGCAATTGTACACTTAATCATAACATTAGTTCATTTGAAACAGTCTGTCGGCTATCGGCATGACCCAGAGGCCAATCCACTTGGCAAGGACACAACGGCGGGCCATCTACATCCAACCCTTTACCAATACCAAGAGTTTAACAAACAACCAACCTATTGCGTTGCCTCCTTCTTCCCCTTGGAGCGTCGTCCCCGGCCCTCCCCTTAGTAAACCTCTCATGTCCGTCATCACTACGCTATCGTTGCTGTGAGGGAACACACACACCAGTCAACCGTGCCAACCCCCGAATTTACCTGCTTGAAAATTCTACTGGATCTGGAGTTTCGCCCTTTATTGGGACTGATTTCGGGGACGAGCCAATGTACTGGCCATCAAGCGTATCCTTCGCTAGTCCTAGGAGCACCAGCTTCAAAGCAGAGTCTTGAAACAAAGGACGGGATTTGACATAGCTTCTTAGGAAAGGGTTTTACGTCTTTTCATCCTTACTACGGTATTTTCACTTCACCGCTGCCTATCTCTATCTGTCTGGGTTCTATCCTTTAGGATCGGGCTTGTTTTACACTGCCACCAGTGTGGCGCCCCCAGACTTTTCTGCAGAAAAAAGTGAATATGATACTCTGACGGTCCATATAACGTTGATATACGGAAGGGCATATGGCTACTTGCATAGCCCGAAGGCCAGTCCAAGGGGCGGCGCACCTAAGTAGTGCCTAAATCGAAACCGTGAGTTAAATAAACATCCAAAGATATTATACCATATCCGCTTAAATTGCTTTATTGGCGTCCGGGTCACTTAGATCACGTCGTGTAGAACATGAGGATGTGTATTCCTTTAGTAATACATATTTGTCTAAATTCACTTTTTTGTGGCAAACTGGCAAATTGCACCTTCTCGTGGCTTCGAAGACCTCATCAATGCCCGAGGAGGAGAAAAACTCCGGTCTTTTTTCGTATTTTTACCCAGCTTTTATCTCGATTCCATGCTATTGAGCCACAGAACCGGGGTAGAAGAGCCAAACACTGGAAGGACAGCAAATTGAGTGGTCAATTAACAGAAGTAACTCGTTACAAACATCAATGCTCCAACATGGTGAGTGAATTGCGGAGACGGATCTGTCCGCGGAGTTAATCAGACTTCTTAAACAAATGCCTCACTGTTTGTCGTTAAATGACCAACTGGATGATGCCACATTAAGCCTGAGTTCATGGCTTAGATTGGCAGCCTCTGATTTGTAACAGTCAGATTATTGGCTAAGAAGTCGGTCCGGTGTTGGGTTCATGAATACTGCCAAGAATGCAGGCATTCAGTGTTTGCCTTTGGCTCGTCTTAGAAGAAGCTAGTCTATAAGAATGTTCAGGCTGGCATCATTTAAACTGGGAGAGACAAGAACCTCAAACCCCACAAGGACAAGGGAGACCGCAATAAGTGGCTTCACATTCAAGGGGACTTTGTTGTAACCGCTTCAGTTCGTTGTCATGCGATTATCGCAGTTAAGCTTCTGTTGAAAAGGTGGAGAAACACTTCTTCTTTATCACTACTCAACTTAGCCGTTAGGTAGTAAGCATGCTGCGGATCATATGTTGGTTTGAATGTTCCCTTCAGGCAAGAGGCGGTCGGTAAATTGGAACCTCTTGACCTTCTGGATGGACTCCATTGGCCTTAGAAGAAGAACTGTACCCCCGAAAAACTTAATTTGCGATACCTCTACTCTTTTTGTTTATCGCTACCCAATTAGACAAGTCCTCGCCCAACTCGTCTACCCAAAGCTTTAACTAATATGTACCATAACTGTCGCCTATCAAAATGATTTACACTTTCATGTGAATGTATGACATTCCACATTTCGCAATGTTTGAAGATTGCATGCTTAGTTGTATCTGAAAATGGACTTTACTAAAAAGACAGGTGAAATATGGAATACCACACTTCTATCTGTTTTAAATGGACAACAACGGAAACCACTGGTCGTATCCCTCGTCCCAGCCCTTCCCTCCTTCCTTTTTTTCTTTGCATATCATTTGACGGTCGGAGGTGTCTTGATTGCTACGACGATAGACTTTTCCACTGCAGGATGGATACGTAAGGCAACTAAACAGAAGGAGAGACGAAACTTAAAAAGCACAATCGCCTTTTCATTTGCAATATGTGCATTTTCAGTGGATTACAGAGACAGTCTCTTACGTAATCTGCCAGACAGCCAAGGCAGCACTTGCGATGTGTTTGCTATAGCAAAATAAATAAACCAATTATGACATTCACTGTCACTTTAGTCCTTCATTACATTTGACACGCAAAATGAAGAAGTGACAAGGCTATTAAAGCACCGGAAACGCGTTCCTAACTCGCGGTTTGTTCATGCGATCCATACGCGGTGTCAAACGGTTACATTAAGCGACGTCAAATGTTCAATATTCAAGTTTCTTCTTCTATCAACTTACTGAAGCTTCCAAAATGCCTACTTCTTTAGTTCCGAGTCCAACAACCAACAAATTTACAGCATCGACTGCCAAAACTTGAGGCAGATCTCAATCAGAAGTTCTTCTCTCTAAATCTTACAGGAGAATAACGCCAAGTTGTAGGTTGCTCGATTTAAAAAAAAGACAAAATTAGTCTTCCAGCCACTCCTTGGTCCTTCATTGATCAGTAGAAAATTCTCAGTAGTATGTCTTGACTTATAAGTTCTCTACTTCCTTGATTTTGATGATCGAATGGAGGACGATACTGCCACTGTACAATGATGCTGATGCGATTCCCTCCATCAGCCTGGAAATCTCAACACGAAGTCCCATCAACTCCGACCTCAGGTGGATATACAAGGGAACGATAGAAATTAAATGAAGCTTTTAGCGCCTCTGAGGCCGACTTGTCCCCAAGACACACTAAACTACCAACTGTTTCACCGTCGAGTTATTACCATCTTCTGCTAGTTCATGAAAGGTCAATGGATACATTTGTATTCTTTGGTTATCAACTGTTTTATTTAATGAATCAACATGTTGATTAATGGTGCCTGTAGAATTTATACCTGTTTGCTTGAGGTTGAAAGAAGTCACGGGAGTATCCGGAGGATTTACTACTGAAATACAGAAGAGGTGAGTCTGTCAGCATAGCCTGGAGACCATAGCAACGAGCGGAAGTACCGCAACGGAGCCTTAAGTACTTGCGTATTCAAAACACAGTTAACCAAACAATCAAAGCATAGCATATCTCCTCTCACCTTTTTAACGTCATCTTTGGCACTCCTCCTGAGTCAGATGCTACTCCATGTGGAGAGAAAAATAGCTCAACCGAATCGTCTGATCATCCTATGCACCCGATCCACGCCTCCGATATTCCATCGGTTTTGGCAATGAAGGTCCCCGTATCACAGTTTTTGAGCCTAAACTCTGCAACGGAGAGTACCTTATTAGCCACGCAGCTATCTACTGCCAGCGCACAGTTATCACATGCACAAACGTTGTACTCCACCCTGATTACTTATATGCGTCGGCAAATAAAGGAGCCTGTGTTAAGCCTTTGTAGACTGGTTACTCCGATTCGGAACTGGACAGGGCATGAGGAGATAGGATAAGACAGACCCGAGCCCATACGCAAAGTGTTGATAAGAGACATTGGTGGAAAGACCTTAATAGGAGGGATTTTTTGTGACTTCTTCAGTAGCCCAACTACAAGGGAATAACCCTGGTCCCCCTCCCTGTTCCCGGTATTAGGCTGTGAAGAAACAAGTTTGCTACTTATTAATTATAAGTAAAAGGTTAATACCAACTGCGATGTAATCCACCTGACATTTTGCAACTGGACCTACCCAAGCTTGAGAGGTTGCTTGAAATCGTTATCGCACATACCTGCTTGATGTCACCTATATCCCTTTTTTTAGAAGTTTTTACTAGTTGAATAGCTGCATTATACAAAAAATCTGCAATTTATCCCATAAGTGGACGCGACTAATCAGCCATTATTTGATACTTAAACTGCCATGTTAGCATCACAAGGTTCCAAAGTTAAACAGTTTTTTGCACAAATTATGCCGTCAAGATGAAAAATGAGCCAATTGAGACTTGGCTTCCACTGGACCCCAATTGTCGAGTGATAGGCTTAAAAAACATCTTACTACTGTAAGTATGCCAATGGAAACTTGTGACTGTTGTTTATTCAGTTGATTTCGAAGTGGGTCAAAAAGGTCTTTGACCAGATCACTGTTAGAGCAGGTTCAATTTCAGGCTGAGATACCTGCGTGTTTCAATGGTCATTGCCTTACCAATCAGCGGTCAGATGTGGGAACGAGATTAGGGCATAACCCGCGCAAAACAGGTTGTTGTGAGACTAGTTTGTCTTTTAGTTAAAAAAGGTAGTTGAAGAATATTGTCAATGACTAGGATGTTATAGTAATATCGCGAATAATGTTAACCTGCCCACGTATCCATTCATTTGCCATCCTACGCTACCGGAAGAGAGTAAACTGTACCCTGTATATCACATGCATGTATCAAACACTTGAATTATACAACTAAACACCGCCTATTACTTATTCATCATTCGGTATCTTTCGACTCTGTCTACCGCTAAAAGCTGAAATCACTTTGACCAATGTGAAGAGCTCGAAATCCAACCGAGGGTAGGGCAGTAGCACTAAAACCAAACGACTTGCTGTTTTAATCAAGCGGGAGTTCACAGAGAGGTTATTTTAAAGTCCATCATGTAAATTTGATGTCACATCATCTGTCAGATTTTAGGAAGCCAGCTAACAGCCCAGTAACTTTGCTACTGTCGAGGCCTCTGTGATGGGTGATTGCAACATGGATGACAATTTATTGCCTCCCCACTGGTCGGTCATTCCTCAAGTCCCCCATTACCTTCCACTCTTGGTAAGGCCACATGCGGTAATAAAAGGCACGATTAACATCTGCTACGAATTTACCAAATCGCAGCCCTCAACCAAATTATTTGGCGGTATGGAAGTGAACTAAAATCCGTCTATACTTCCAAATCTCGACTAATTATCAGGAAAAAAAAGTGGATATGGTAAGAGGCGAGATTGGAAGATTAACAAGCCTTCTGATGGATTAAACCTGGAAAGACAGTAGAAAGCAATTGTACACTTAATCATAACATTAGTTCATTTGAAACAGTCTGTCGGCTATCGGCATGACCCAGAGGCCAATCCACTTGGCAAGGACACAACGGCGGGCCATCTACATCCAACCCTTTACCAATACCAAGAGTTTAACAAACAACCAACCTATTGCGTTGCCTCCTTCTTCCCCTTGGAGCGTCGTCCCCGGCCCTCCCCTTAGTAAACCTCTCATGTCCGTCATCACTACGCTATCGTTGCTGTGAGGGAACACACACACCAGTCAACCGTGCCAACCCCCGAATTTACCTGCTTGAAAATTCTACTGGATCTGGAGTTTCGCCCTTTATTGGGACTGATTTCGGGGACGAGCCAATGTACTGGCCATCAAGCGTATCCTTCGCTAGTCCTAGGAGCACCAGCTTCAAAGCAGAGTCTTGAAACAAAGGACGGGATTTGACATAGCTTCTTAGGAAAGGGTTTTACGTCTTTTCATCCTTACTACGGTATTTTCACTTCACCGCTGCCTATCTCTATCTGTCTGGGTTCTATCCTTTAGGATCGGGCTTGTTTTACACTGCCACCAGTGTGGCGCCCCCAGACTTTTCTGCAGAAAAAAGTGAATATGATACTCTGACGGTCCATATAACGTTGATATACGGAAGGGCATATGGCTACTTGCATAGCCCGAAGGCCAGTCCAAGGGGCGGCGCACCTAAGTAGTGCCTAAATCGAAACCGTGAGTTAAATAAACATCCAAAGATATTATACCATATCCGCTTAAATTGCTTTATTGGCGTCCGGGTCACTTAGATCACGTCGTGTAGAACATGAGGATGTGTATTCCTTTAGTAATACATATTTGTCTAAATTCACTTTTTTGTGGCAAACTGGCAAATTGCACCTTCTCGTGGCTTCGAAGACCTCATCAATGCCCGAGGAGGAGAAAAACTCCGGTCTTTTTTCGTATTTTTACCCAGCTTTTATCTCGATTCCATGCTATTGAGCCACAGAACCGGGGTAGAAGAGCCAAACACTGGAAGGACAGCAAATTGAGTGGTCAATTAACAGAAGTAACTCGTTACAAACATCAATGCTCCAACATGGTGAGTGAATTGCGGAGACGGATCTGTCCGCGGAGTTAATCAGACTTCTTAAACAAATGCCTCACTGTTTGTCGTTAAATGACCAACTGGATGATGCCACATTAAGCCTGAGTTCATGGCTTAGATTGGCAGCCTCTGATTTGTAACAGTCAGATTATTGGCTAAGAAGTCGGTCCGGTGTTGGGTTCATGAATACTGCCAAGAATGCAGGCATTCAGTGTTTGCCTTTGGCTCGTCTTAGAAGAAGCTAGTCTATAAGAATGTTCAGGCTGGCATCATTTAAACTGGGAGAGACAAGAACCTCAAACCCCACAAGGACAAGGGAGACCGCAATAAGTGGCTTCACATTCAAGGGGACTTTGTTGTAACCGCTTCAGTTCGTTGTCATGCGATTATCGCAGTTAAGCTTCTGTTGAAAAGGTGGAGAAACACTTCTTCTTTATCACTACTCAACTTAGCCGTTAGGTAAGGTTAAAGGTACCGATTCTTGCATGAAAGGCTAGCAAGTACTTTCGGACCTAACCTGCTCAGCTTTGCTGTCTATAAATTCGGTACTTTTTATTTAATTCAAATGATGGGGATTTTTATTTCTATTTCG